ACCTGAGCTTCTTCCTGGATGTCACCAGGCATGGAATTGATGAGCAGACCCGGGCTGAGAGACAACGTGCTCATGATAAGGCTATAGCGGCACACGCGAAATTCGACAAGACTGCGAACAGCTCTGTCTCGACCGAAGACAAACGCAAACGACCGTTGAGAACTTGGAAGGGGGCTCTCGTCAAACTACAGCTACCTTTGGTTAGGCAACGTCCACTTGGCAAAATCAGGAAGCCCTGGTGTAAGATGCCGATTCACTGGAAGGTGGACAAGGAGCTTCTGCAGCAAGTGTTGGATAACGAGAAATCTTCCCAAGATCAGGTCCTCGGAATGGTCCTTGCAGAAGAGCTTGGGTACGAGTCTTGGGGCGATTCTTCGGATGACACCGACACCAATTCTGGAGATGACACCGATACCGACACCGAGGATGAATCCGACGACGATCTTGGCAGAGGCTCTAGAGACTTCACAGATGACACCACGGGTGACAACACAGATGAACACGCAGCAGACTCTCCGGACGCCCCAGCTGAAACCCAGCCATCAGAGCTCCCGATCCCGGGCACAGCTCCCGCAGTCCCAACCAAGGTTCCCAGTGATCGAGCTGCGTACGAAATGCCCAAGCCGGGATCGGCTCGGGACCGGTTCAGACAAGAATGTTTCCAGATGGGCCTTACGTCAGTAGTCAACGGAGAACCCTACAAGCGTCCGAAAGAACCATTTGTATTTGGAGTTCCTCACGAACCGACAAAGCAGACCCAGTTCCGGCTCGGGTTTTTCAAGGTCGGCCTAGCAAAACGCTGCCGCCCAATGACCATTTTTCCAAAGCAACATGGCGAAATTACCATTTCTCCCGAGGAATGGAAATCCATCGAAGAGGATGCTCGCAATAAGATTGTCACTTACGAGTACTTGTGCAGAGAAAGACATGAGTTGGCCAAGGTCGCTGAAGAGATGGGGATTGTTTGAGAATCGCATATCACGGAGCCAGGATATGCAACTGCGTTTGAGAAGATATGTATCTGTGTTGTTCAAGTTTTTTTCTTCTTTTCTCGTTCGATTTAGGTATCATGGTGTTGAATAAATTAGTTATTCTTAATGAAATATTGAAGAATTCGTACAATTAACATCAAACTAACAAAAGAATATCCCTTGGAAACCCTAAGTTGTCGGAGATGAGATAAATCAAATGAAGAGTCGGTCATAAAACCAAAGATGGATGTAACTTCCATCAATTGGCCCAAGTGGCCGAGCAGTTTCCTGGTCTAGCGGTTATGATTTTCCGTTAACAAATGCGACTAGCATATGTTCCGGAAAGGTTCTGGGTTCGATTCCCAGGGAAACTATTTTTTGTCTTTTTTCAATTAAAACTCAGAGGCAAGCCACTCGCTCTCATTTCTATTTTTATCCTAATGGTGAAAAGTGAAGAGGTTAGGTAGAAGTCATTATCATTTATTTCAATTGAAAGCTTTTCTATTCCAAAAATAGTTTGACTCTTCTGGTAAATCTTCTTGTCCGAGTGCTCTAAAAAGTGGTATTTCAAAAGAAGAATTAAGTAAAATATGTGCGTTCTCGAAAATATTCACGATTGGACCAAAAAGCCAATTGTCTAAACAAGGAAATGGGGAGCGTTGAGGACCAATCCCATCAAGCATCCGCCAAGGGTACCAGCGATGGGGATGGTCATGATCCATGCGAACAACAAAAGGAAGACACGCTGCCAGTTGACGGCCTTGTAAGTTCCGTTGCATAGTCCAACACCGACGGTAGCGCCAGTGATGCACATAGAAGTGGAAACGGGCAGGGAGTACTGCGAGAAGACCAGCACCGTGATGGCAGCGCCCATCTCCATGGAGGAGCCACGGGACGGGGAGTGGTAGGTGATCTTGTTACCCATGACTAAGTTTAAAGTTAGTAAAAATGAAGATTGGAATGTGGAAGGAAGAGGTGCTTACCTTTCATGATGTTATATCCATAAGTGCAAAGACCGATGGAAATGCAAATGGCTAGAACAGCAAGCTGCCAGACAGGCACGGGGGACTTGGACGCGGCAGGAGTACCGCTGGACCAGGCAGAGTAGATGGCAGCCCAGGGGCCGACAGAGTTACCGATATCGTTGGCGCCGTGAGCGAAGGAAGCAGTGCAAGCAGTGATGATCTGGATGAAGGAGAAGGTGTGTTCGACCTCATTGGGGTATTTCTCGGCGTTGGCATAGACACGCTTCATACGCTCACCCTCCGGAGTACCCTCGTTACCACTCTGGGCAGTGTGGATGTCGTAGTAGAAACCATAGAGAAGACCGACAGTGATGATGGCGGGGATGCGCTTGGCCATGCACTTCAGGTTGCGGAGTTCGTAAATCTCACCAGCGCCCATGGGGTTGTCGCGGAGAAGGCGCATAGCCCAGCCAATAGGACCACGGCTCTGGAGGAGCTTGGCCTTGTGACGCTCTTCGGATTGGGCCATGACTTCGCGGTAGGTGAGCTGATTGGCCTCGAGCTTTTCAATGGATCGCTCCTCCGTGGAGCCTGGGATGGAGGAAACACCGGTCTTGGGATCCTTCTCATCGATAGGCAGGTGAGACTCGTGCTCCTCGGGTTCCTCTTGCACCACGGCGTAGTTGGGAACCTTGGCAACTTCAGCACCGTTAGGGACGGGACGGGTGAAGAGCAGAGGGCCCTGGATGACCATCCACCACTTCACACTAGGGTCCTTCTTGATCACGCGGGAGTGAATGAAAGGAACAAAGAAGAAAGCAGACAAAAGGCAGACACCACCACCAGTGCCCATAGTGACGGCGGCAACGTACCAGGCGGGCTTCTTGCTCAGACCCAGGCTGGGAGAGCCCTTGTAAACAATGGAGAGCGTGCAAATGGTGGCAGCAACCAGGAAGAAGAAAGGAGCACTCCACACGGCCCAGGGGATAGGGTTTCTCCGCACATGCACGACGTACTTGATCAGCATGAAGATAATAGCGCCAAAGCAACCGGAAATGACAGGAGCCATGCCGAGACCAGCGAAGATGGCACCGAGACCCTTGCCATCGTTCCAGCCCCACTGGACCTGGGAAGCGCCAACAGTTGCAACACCGACACCGGCGACAGCAGAGATGAGGGAGTAGGTGGAGGAGACGTGGGCGGAGTGCTTGGTACACCACATCACCCATGAGGATGCAGCGGCAAGGGCACATGTGAAGGCGAGCATTTGAACACCGGCATTGCCCTTGAAGGCCGAGTTGGGGATGATGCCGTTCTTGATAGTATCAGCGGTACGGGCACCGACAGCGACAGCTCCGACAAACTCGAAGATGGTACCGAGGACCATAGCCTGGCGGTAGGAGATGGACCGGGAGGAGACACTCGTGGCCCAAGAATTGGCAACATCGTCTATAGACATCCAATGGTTAGTTCGAGGTCAACCATCCAAGGATAGGCTGCTACTTACTTGCACCGTTGTTGAATGCATCAAGCATAGCAAACAACGTGCCGATGGCAAAGATGTAATCGTATTGATGGAGATACATCTTGATGAGTTGTATCAAGTCAAGCTTTCGATTCAAAGCTTAGTACTGGACGGACTTTTGATCTGAGAAACAAGAGAAACCAAGACCTGGGCGAAAAGGCTGCCCTTTATGTATGCATGGGAAGATAAGACACAACCGCTCTACTCTCTATGCAAGACAAGGCTTTGTGGCGAACGTCCTCTGCCCAGGAGAACTTCCCGATTGGGACACTCCGGCCACACGTGCTGCAATGGGAGCCTAGCAATCATCGTCTGTGGCCTTGGCAAAAAGTAAATGCAACGCGACCAAGCCAAGAAGAAGAAAGCCCGTTTTCCGCAAGCTTATGGTCTGAAGCAAATTGGACAATGTCTTGGCAATATCTCGGCGGAAGTAGTTTTACATTGACATGCGACGAAAAGGAGCCAGATTAGGTGTAGATTGGTTTAGAACTCGGTGGAGACGGCCCCTGATTGGTTCCAGGACACGGCCATTGGACGGTTGCGGCTCTTGGCGGGGGTGGGGGCGCACGGTCCGCATCTACCTATGAGAGCACTGCAATCCCACACGTGGGTGTATAAGAGGTCCAATCCCCCGGAATGTGTCTGTCGCATGGTTCATGTTTGTTCTAGAAGACATCGGGTGCCGAGCTGACGACCACCGCCTTGCCCTACATCGGGAGCTCCGAGGCGAGCGCACGTGCCTTCGTACTTTGTAGGATGTGACTCTAATTGACGAAAGAGGAACCCTGGAGGATTGGAAAGTGTTGGAAGAGCTCCTAGTGCGGTTGGTTTCAGAGTTTTTGCCAGCCAAGACAGCCAAACTCATGTGCAACAGGTCGATTTGCCCCACGTGCAATGTACATCATGTAATCACTGCCACGAACTACAGAACTAAACCTTGGAAGTCTGATATTAGTAATATACGATAACTCCACGGTCATGCAGGGATTTCTCGAATGATAGGCTCCACTCTTTAAAGGCGTTCGTATCTGTTCAATTCTCCGATATGGTCAATTGAGCCTAACTCGCATGACCATCAGGTTTGCCGAAAGAACGAATCAATTGCATTAATCTATCCCCGAGGAAGCTTTTCAGGTCTAAGCTACCTCATTTCTGTCTAGGCAGGGATAGTTCTCTTGGCAGTTGCTCTCTGACGCTCGTATGATGTGGTGTGCCTCAATCTAGTTCTCCAAATGGATACATCAGCTGGCCGACCTCAGCAATGCCTTTCGCCACGCTGCCTCACCGAGAGGAACACAGCCATGTGTTCAGAAAGCATTCGCAAGTGACCCATACAAAACTTCTTGGCCTCAACAGAAGAAGTGGGCAGACCCAACAGCACCAGATCATCAAAGAATGGGCGGAAACAATGCCAAGACATCGCTTCAAATGAATTCAGCCACATGGAAACAATTTTTCTTTGGATTGACCATTAACTAGGTATGGAGTAAACACGGAGCAAAGGTACTCCACTATGCTCGTCTACCGGGGTGGGGCCTCTCAACGCCCATGCGAACCATATTCTCCATCCTTGACACCCCAAAGCGTCTCCTGACTCGGACTCGTCCCCCAGTCCACATCGATTGTCGTCTCATGAACATCATGTCCGTCAGATATAGGCTCCCTTGCCGATAGAGGAATCGACTCAAGGCCTATTGTCCCTATATTATCTGAGTCACTGTGATGCATCGTCGAACGATTTCTGCTCAAGACCCCGAAAAATGCCCGCAACGCCGGGAGAGAAAGAGCGATGATAGCGGCACTGATTTCTGTGGCAGACCACACCATCACCACAGAGAAATACCAAGTTGCATCATCCGGGTGTTGGAGGGCGACGATCATGGACACCATCCGGAGAATAGACGTCCTATAATCGGTGAGCTAATAGACCGTGACTGGGAAGGCGGCGAAGACTTACACAACAGCACTAAAGAGACAGATATTAGCTACTTCCCTTTCTCACTGTTGACGAAGACAAGGACAAGAGAACTTACAAAACTCCCACGCAAAGTACAAGTGCTAAGACTAGCTTTCTTGCTAGCTTTGCCTTCAACGAGAAGACAATATTCATTGGCAATAGCAGCACAAGCGAGTCACAGACGATAGTGAGTACAGAAGTCGAAATGAAAACAATCTCTGAGCCCATGCATTCACCCTCTGCGCCGCCCCACAGAACAGCGAGAGGAACACACTGCAAAGTAATGATGAGTGTCTGCGCTACATACACAGCCGTCACAAAAGCGAAGGAAATACGCAGATAAAGGGTGAATCGTGGCATTTGATTGAGACGAGCATAAAAAGCGATGCCAGAGATGCGGCACAGCCACATGTTGAACATATACACGAGCTGAGCTCCGACAAGCCACTTATACATATGCACTAGGGCTTCTGGGTCGTTCATCAACGCTGCGAGATGCTGGCCAGAGCCATAGTGGATGACCATTAATGAAAGCCCCAGGACTATCCAGCTGACTAACTAGATAGACATCAAAATCCCGCAACAGGTCGCGAGTGATCGGATCAAATTTACCTGTGCGACTGCAATCGTGAGGTCATCCCATCCCAGCTCATGGATTAGATGCCCCCGAGCGTACAGGCGAATCAGAACGACAAGTAATGAGAGTGTTGTCACAACGACCATGCCGATAATCGCCGGCTGGCGGCGATTCTCCGCCAGAAAGGACGATGGGTATTTAGAAGAGGACATCGTGCCCAAGAGAATATTTGAAGAATTGATCCCATTCCTAAAACACGAAACCGAGGTGAATAGATTCATCAAGGCAGACTTTGGCCCCCAATTCAACTACCCTGCAACCAACTTGTCTAAGGATTCTCGCCAAACAAGGAGGGATTCTACTCTCATCTCCGGCCCGCGACCCCCGCGGCACAATATTTAATCAGCAAATCAGACCATCGTGAGATAGTAGGACTATCCCCGATATGTGCTAGCAGCCTTCCTCCGAGTCCACCTCAACGCCGCTAGCAAGGCCGGCCCCACAAGGACTAGGCACGGCCAACGCCAAAACATTCTACTTTCACTATTCCAGCTTAGGTTGATACTAGACGGCAGAGAATACTGGATTGTGTTCTCAGGGGAAGCTATGAGCAACGGACTTTTGTTATGACCGACCCATGTCAAAAGCACGTTTAATTAAAATGATTCCCAACAATCTCCCCGGAAATAAAACTTCATCCCCTACGTGTGGAACGTGTATATCAGATACTGTCAATTGAAATGGTTTCTTTACTTGTGTCTGGGGTAACGGCCTTGATCACCTTGTCCAAGCTGTGGGTTTTAGCAGTCATTTTGTTTACTGTGCGAGCGATCACTCGCAAATATTGGACCCCGATCAGAGATATACCAGGCCCATTTTTGGCTTCTTTTTCGACACTATGGCAGGTTTATCATTTGTGGAAGGGCCATATCGAAGATGAGCTTATTGACCTTCACCAAAAGAATGGTAGGCTGGTCTGTCATGATTCTATTTCATATTTTAACAAGAGCGACAGGGTATTTTGTTCGCATTGCAGAGAATGAAGTCAGTGTCTCTCACCCAGACGCAGTAAAGCAGCTTCTCCATGCAAATATAGCCAAAGTATGTATTTCTCTTGACAATCGCAAAAGCAAAAGTACTCAATATTAACAACCATGCACAAAAGGGCTCGTGGTACTCAATTTTCAGTCTTCCAGACTACCATTACGTGAACCAGATGTCTGAATTGAATCCAAAGCGGCATATTGAAAAGTCGCGCAACATAGCCGCCGGCTTTGCACTATCAAACATTATCAAGTCCGAGCCACACGTGGACGCAATCCTCCACTGCTTCGAAAAGCACCTCGACAGATTAAGCAAATGCAACGAGGTAGTAGAATTTGACAAATGGTTCAGCTTCTTCGCTTTTGACGTGCTGGGCGAAGTAACCTTCTCAAAATCCTTTGGATTCGTAGAAACAGGCACAGATATCAGAGATGCGGTCGCAAACACCAAAGCCCTGGCAGTCTACATCGCGGTCATGGGCCACTATATCTGGCTACACAACCTGACACTGGGAAACCCGCTTCTGAGCCGCATTGGACTCCAGCCTTCATCGCATATTTTCGACACTTGTCTTGCTGCTATCGATGCGCGCAAGAATAACCCCGCAACAAGGAATGATATGATGCAGCGCTGGCTGGACGTTCGGGCCAAATATCCCGATCGCATGACTGAGAATGAGATCTTTGCCGCGGCTGTTGCGAATATCGGGGCCGGGGCCGATACTGTTGGTGCCACAGCCCAGGCGTTTATTTATTACCTACTCCGTCATCCAGAATATTTGCAGCGCTTACGCGATGAGATTGATGCTGCCCAGAGTCGGGGTGAACTCTCGCCTATCGTGCAGTATAATGAAGCGCAGAGGTTGCCATTTCTTCAGGCCTGTGTAAGTAGCCACTTGCAAGCAGTCGACTTCAATTATCTCCGCTTATATCTCTGAATAGCTGAAAGAGACGTACCGTTTCCACTCTGCTGCCGTTGGTGGACTTCCCCGAGTCGTGCCACAAGGTGGGATGACTATTGCTGGCAGATATTTTCCCCAAGGAGTAAGGATAACTTCATAGGCTTTACTTTACCTACACTGATTGATATTTGATTGAATACTGACTCTATCTATAGGTGGTTCTCAGTATCAACACGTGGGTCTTTCATCGCAACCCCCAGATCTTCGGCGAGGACTGCAACAGCTTCAACCCAGACCGCTGGCTTCAAGCAGAGACAACTTATATCGACTCGTTTTTAATCCACGTAGGCAATTGATAACGCCAACACCCATTTACGAAATGAACTAAAATATCTATTAGTGGGGAGCTGGGTACAACCAATGCCCCGGCCGCAATCTTGCCCAATTTGAGCTACTCAAACTAATGGCAACTCTAATAAGGGACTACGATATTGAGCAAGTGGATCCTAGAAACGAATGGGTATTCAAGAGTCAGTTTACGGCTATTCCGTCTGGATGGCCATGCAAGATTCAAAGACGCTCGCGTGAATGATCAAGAAAGAAAGAAAGAAAGGGAAATCACCGACGCCGCAAGCCGTCCCATAGCATCCTCATGCCTGTCATTGGTTTTTCAACAATCACGGTAGGAATAACCTGCAGAAGGAATCCGACTGGAATAGATATTGCGCCGAGAATGATAGAATATGCCCATTGATCGCCAGTCAACTTTGTAATTGAGAATGCCCGCCCGCCAACAAACATAATTAGGATCTGAGCGCCCATCATGATGCAGGTGATTGCTATAAAGAGCCAGTTATGATGGATCCCTTCGATGAGATTAAATGATCGCTCAATTTGTCGATTGCTGTATTGGGGTTAGTAACGCAAAAATATTGAAGGTAGCATCGACATACTTGTACATGTTGAATATCTGCATCCAGACATAGGTGTTGAAAACAGCAGTCTGTAATTGTGATGTTTGAAAAGCACCGTGATAAGAGAAGATAGAAGAGCCCGCAAAGTATAGAACGAGTGTTACTACCATCTGATACACAGATTGGCCAATAATCATCTTCCACATGGTAGGAGTAATTAACGGCGTAGATGTTGGTTCGGGTTTGCGGTCAAGGATCCGGCGAGGAGGAGGATCGGTTGCCAGGGCTAGAGCTGCTAGAGTGTCTTGAAAAAGGTTTACCCACATGAGCTGCACTGGCGTCAAAACCGACTCCTGCGATGAGTTGGCTACTGCCGAGACAAATGCCAGGCCCACAGAGGTGAAGGTAATGGTAATTTGGAACTGGAAAATGGATATTAGACCGATGGCCATCCATACTCCTTGTTGATAGAGTAGCTTACCTGCAAAAATTTTTTGACCGCATCGCTGACTGCTCTTCCCCACATGATAGCCTTGACAATCGAAGAAAATGTATCATCCATCAGGACAATAGAAGAAGCCTCACGAGCAATTTCAGTGCCAGATATTCCCATCGAGAATCCGATATCAGCAACTGCAAGGGCAGGGGCATCATTGGTACCGTCTCCAGTGACAGCAACGACTCTCCCGAGATCCTTCAGGCGTTGGACTAGAACCCGCTTATCGTCTGGACGAGACCGAGCAAGAACCTTGAGCCGTGGAACTAGCTCCTTCTGCTGTGATTCATCTAGCGCACGGAACTTATCGCCTTCCATCACAAGATCATCAGGACTATTGATGATTCCACATTCTTCTGCGATGGCCCTTGCTGTTAGAAGGTTGTCACCGGTAACCATGCGTACAGTGAGACCTGCTTTATGACTGGTGTCGACAGCACTCCAAGCATCGGCTCGGAGAGGGTCTCGTAGACCCAGAATTCCTAGAAATGTGAACTCTTTCATCAGATCCTCGAAGCTGACAGTTTCTTCCTCGTCTCTGGAAGGTAACTCCTCTACATCACGGAAACAAATCGCAATCGTGCGCAAAGATCGTGACGCATACTGAGCAATTGTCTGGCGTATTTGTTCAATACCATACTCCGTGATTGGAGCAGTACTAAGCCCTTGCATTGGCTGTGCAATCGTGGCCACACATTTCTCAATGAGAATCTCGGGAGCACCTTTCACATATGATCGATATACCCCGTTGGCCATTTTCACAACTGTGATCATGTATTTGCGAGAAGCATCAAAAGGTAAAACATCCACAACCTCCTCACTCGCGCGATCAAATTCAAGCTGACCTAGCTCAAGATAGTCCTGGGAGAATCTCAATAAGGCGGCCTCTGTTTGGGAACCAAGAAACTGCCGACCTCCGCCATATCGGCTTTCAATTGCAGTCGAGTTAATCGCGATAGATTGCCTCAAAAGCGATCTCGATTGACTCGAGAGATGGTTCATGCATTTTGCCACAGACAAGGTACTTTCTTCATCTAAAATGTCTGGACTGCTAACTCGATCAGTAAATTGCGAGGTAACACCGAAGAAACCCGAGACAACAGTCATTTGATTCTGTGTTAACGTTCCCGTTTTATCTGAACAGATATCCGTGGCTTGTCCCATCGTTTCGCATGCTCGGAGTTGTCGAACCAAGTTGTGATCTCTCATCATTCGAGTAGTGGCAAATGACAAGGCGAGTGTAACTGCCAAGGGAAGTCCTTCGGGGACTGCGATCACAACGACGGTCAAGGCCAGAATGAAGACATTCAAGAAAGATTGTCCTTTTTCCGAGGCAGACTCGGTGCTATTCCGAAGGCCGACACAGAACTTGATGAACAAGATTACGAACAGCACAAGCGCCGCAAGTGCACCAAAGTGGGCAATATTCTTTGCAAGATTGCTGAGCCGCACTTGAAGCGGGGTGAAGCCTGGGTCGGTATCGAGAGAGAGAAGGATTCTTCCGTAGCTTGATTTTGTGCCTGTAGCCAAGACGAGGTACGCACCAACGCCTTCCACGATCTTGGTATGAGAGAGGATGAAGGGGTCGATCTCACGAGAGCCACCAGGACGGGTATCTATGGGGGTCTTATCGACCGGATCAGACTCGCCAGTTGCCGAGGACTCATCGCATTTGACCTGATGACCTCGTATTAATACTCCATCAGCAGGTACGATATCCCCAGGACTGATGTGAACAATATCACCAACAACAACATCGGAGATGGGAACCTCATGAATCCTTGCAGATCGAAGAACCCAAACATTGCGATCTTGCTGTTTTCTATTGAGCTTCCGAAACTTGCACTCTTTTTGATAGTCGTTCGCGGCACCGGCGAGAGTAATGACGACGATAGCGACAAGGATGGCAACCCCCTCCACCCATTCAACGGGCGGGTTGTCGGGAGTATGCTTGGTTCCGAATGTCTGATACAGCCCCAAAGCAAGCGAGATAATAGCAGCCCCGGTTAGGAGGAATAGGACGTGATCGTTGTAGGCTGCCCACATCAATGACAGAAAGCTCGGGGATGGTTTTATGGGTAGGCGATTGTCGCCGAAGAATTTCCTTCTGTCGACGAATGCGTCGCGATGAAGATTTATCGACATAGGAAGCTCAGAGATAGCGGTCTTTTCTGTCGGCGCAGTGCTTATAGTACTCGCAGCGATGTTCGCGGGAGCACCTAGGTAGGTCTCGTCCAGGCTCAGACCGGAGTGGACGTCGGTTCGTAGTCCTTCCTCCAAGCCTGTTACGCCACCAATAGCATGGAACTCTTGGACATCTTTGGACAACACAAGATTGCCTAATGTGTCAGGATCCAGGGGAAAGGTCGAGAACGATTGAGTGAATTGTTTCGTGGCACGTTTTGATCGCGGGTTCTGGGTATCGTCAGTAAGACACATTCTCAGGCTCATCGTTGAACTTACTATTCGCGACCAAAAAAGAGACATATAAGGCCTCCTGGCTCCCGAAATTGGCGTCATGTCAAGGATAATGTCATGGGAGGATCAGATGGACAAAATCAGAAAGGAGGTGCACCTGTCTGGCGAAATACAAATACGTAAAAAGGGATTGTAAAATACAGTTGGCGTATCATGCATACCAAGAGACAAGATATCAGTATCATAACATGATATCCACCTATTTCTGCAAGAGATATGTATCGGAGCCGGTACAGCGACATCTGGAAGACACGTTACCTTCCTTTGATGTTATTTTGTGCGTTATAGGTCATCAATATGAAGTCTTCCTTTTTAGTTCTTCTGACTCAACTAGTCATGCCTATGTTGGACAAGCGCTCTGAACTCGTTAGCCATACAATTAACCAAAGTCCACCCCAGAGCAGGCAAGTGAATTTCTTACAGGGCTGTGTTGCTTATTGTACTCCCCCAAAACAAAGCCCCAGAGATCACACAAGAAGATTGTTGACAGTCTCAAGTCTTGGCAAGGAGGCTATGTAAATGCCCGAGGCTGGCTGACTGGCAGACAACAAGACTTGACAATTGGTCACTGAGCCCAGAAAAAATGATTAAAAATCGCCAAACCTGGCTGACACTAGCTAGATACAGACTAATGGCGCTGGGGACAGTCGACACCTCTCCACAGTCCAAGCCTAAAAGAGAGTCTAATTCAACGTACGCTGTGAATTCTGATCCGCCGCCTCTACCCACGCTATTCTCCTCAAATCCTCTAGCGCTGCCACGGTATCTGGGTGGTCCGTTCCCAATGCTCTTTCCCTGCGAGAATATACAGTTTCGGCCATTCCACCGGCGACGTCCCACTTGCTTTGCGACTGGTATATGAAGCCCAGATTGGCCATCGCGTTGAGTGTATACGGGTGGTCTTTGCCTATCGTCTCTTTCATCAAACGTAATGACCGGGCTGCCAGGATCTCGGCATCTGGTGATTGCCTCATCATTTGGAATGTCACTGCAAGATCCGCCATAGCAACCAGTGTGTGTGGATGACGTTCCCCGAGGACCTCTTTCATTACTGTCGTTGCTTTCTCCCCGAGGTCTTTGGCTTCTTCAAGCCGACCCTGATTGCGGTATGTTGAGGCAAGGTTGCTAATGGACATCAGGGTCTGCGGGTGCGTTTCGCCGAGCACGGTCTCGCTGCTAGCCACGACTTCTTTTTCCAGGCGCTCAGCATCCGACCATCGACCTTGTTCGCGGTATGTGGATGCAAGGTTGGCCATAGAGGTCAAGGTAAAGTGATCATTCGTCCCAAATATGTCCCGACTAACAGCGACAATCTCCAATTCAAGCTTTTCAGCGGAGTCTAACCTCCCCTGGTCTCGGTAGGTCGATGCCAGGGTAAGTTTCCATTTTAACAACGAGGCATCGGTTGGAGATAATTCACTTTCTCCGAGATCGACCAATTGGCGTGCAATTGTCTCGGCCTCTTCATACCGACCGAGATAGGCATACGATATTGCCAGGTTAGACATTGAGCCTAAAGTGGATGAATGTTTGAGACCGATAGTCTTCTTCTTCATCTCAAAAACTCTCAAATCAAGTTCTTGAGCATCGGCCCAGAGGCCTTGGCTCCGATAGGTGGAAGCTAGATTGGTCATGGAAGTCAACGTCTGGGGATGCTCCTCTCCAAGAATCTTCTGTCTCAACTTGGTCACCCGGGAAGCGAGAGCAGCAGCCTGATCCAGCTGGCCTCGGCCCCAATACGCCGAAGCAAGATTATGCATCGCTGTCATAGTCATTAAGTCTTGCTCTCCCTTAAGTTTCTCGCATGAGTCCAGCACCAGAATGCCTAGATCTTCGGCAACAATCCATGAATTGGCCTGCAGCAATGTCTTGACACATGCGGCTAGCTCTTCGAGCATTATTTTCATCCCTTCAGAATCCGCACGTGTCGCGAGTATCCGGTTCCCCGCTGTGGTCATTGCTGACTCTAGTTCTGTTGCTTCGGTCGTCCAGCCTCGGCCATGATATATGGCTGTGAGTTCACTAACCTCCCTCTGGAGCGACTCGAGGGAGGGAGGATGATTATCCATAGATCACGGACAGCAAGGATTATCCAGCCTGGCCCCGGTTGTTGTTTTGTTGTTTTGGTGTGAATGATCCGGTAGGCTGGCTCTTAATCATTTACTCGGGTCGGAGGTTGGGTTGTCACTAGATGGGTTGAGCGTGACGACTCTTTGAGAGGAAGATAAGAATTGTGAGCTGCGAACGCATTGCCAAGGTGTGGGGGGCCCCGAATGTTCCGATTAATTACAATACACAGCAGAGAGGGGTCAACGAAGACTTGTGTTCCCCTTCCCTGTAATTAAACGTCATTGCACATGATCTTTCGAGTATTTATAGCCTAACACGTCAGAACATCCCATAAGGCTGAGACGAAGATCAAATAAATGCTGTTGCCTGGATACTGTAAGTTGTATACAGAGCTATTGAAAAGTATCCAGCGGCTAAATACCGGCTCAGCCCTATCGCCCACTTCCTGGTGGAGACCGTTCCGTTTGGCGCTAGTAATAGGGCTGTAACTTTGATAAGGCTGAAAGTTACTAGTACCCGTACTTGTACCGTGGTAACGTTCGGAACACAATCTCGGAAATATCCAGTTCATGTGATTTCCCAGTCCGCGGGTCGCATCTCACTTGAGCTTCAACAATCCAAGAGATCCAAGATTTACCATGGTATCTCGCCGAGACACTCAGCCAGCGCCTAGCCACCATCGCCAGGACCCTTGGATTCACATCCAGAGGTTCTTCAAGATGCCATCGCAAAATGGACTGAAGGAACTGAGCATCAATCATGGACGGCCAGCAATGGTGCTGCTACCTCTGGCTGGGCTTGCAAAGATATTTCACTGGAACCCGATCATAGTCCTCACGGTGAATATCCTCGCCATTATCTTCTTGTCCGAGGCGATATCCACCTCATCAGATGAACTCACTGCGCATCTTGGAGAGCTGCAAGGTGCACTACTCAGTGCCACACTCGGAAATACAGTAGAGCTCACGGTGAGTAACAATATTGCCCTGAATATCGAAATGACAAAATGCTCACTCAGCCCAGGCGGGAATTCTAGCTCTGATTCATGACGAGATCCCATTTGCACAGTCTGTGATGGTTGGCAGTATTCTCTCGGATATTTTGCTTGTAAGTCCTCACATTATGAAAGTCCCAGTGTTGGCCATATCATCCGGACTGACAGCTCAATCTAGGTATTCGGTTGCTGCCTCGTCACAGCTTCGTACAACAAGGAGGTTTTGGAGTTTAACAGCGCTCTTGCAAAGACTTTGTCTTCTTTGATGATGATCACAGCCGTCACGATGCTTCTTCCAACGGCTCTGTATTCGACTTTCCCAGTATCTGAGATCGATGACAGAGTACTATACTTCTCACGAGGAACATCATTGGTACTCCTCGCGCTCTACGGAGGTTACCTTTACTTCTACCTCGGTACTCACAAACATCTCTTCCTTTCGAACGAGATCGAAGCTAGTGACGATGAAAATAACGGAGTTTCATCATCCGCAGCCAACAAAGCCAGCTTAGCTTCATCAATTATCCGATTGACAACAGCCGTGGCCGCAACAGTCTTTTGCACAGAACTCCTGCTTGAAAGTGTTGACAACATGGCGCAGACGCTTGGAGTCTCTGAAGTTTTCATAGCAATTGTCTTTATTCCAATCGCTAGCAATAGCACCGAGGGGGTTACTGTCATTGCGGCATCTCGCACAGGAGATACAGATTCTGCAATCCGCGTTATCATCGACAGTCTCTTGCAGATTGGTCTATTTGTCATACCATTCTTGGTGGTTATCGGCTGGTGCATTGCTGAACCGATGACACTTTTCTTCGACTCATTCCAGACCGTGACCATGTTTTTGGCCATTCTGGTGGTTAATCATCTACTTCGTGATGGACAGTACGCTTACATCCATGGTGCGATGCTGATTGCTCTGTAAGTTTCTCTAGACTCCTTACTGATTTTTAAAAGTACTTTTATTGATGTATGATTATAGCTATTCAAGTTTGGTTGTGGCGTTCTATGCACACTAGATGGCTCAAGGGATTTGCCGCCTCCAGCAGCCACTTCAAGTAACGACTCATGTGTGATATACCAGGCTAACCACCTAGGTAAATCACATTCGCCGGCACCTCAGGCCTAACAAAGAACGAGAACGTGATAATCATGTATCTATCAAGAGAAAGTAAAGTTAATACCGACGAATCAAAGTCCATCAAAGTAGTGCGAGCGACTCACGTTCCAATCAACATCAACCCCTCGAAGTAATTGCTCCGCCCATCAGAAATAAGATAGGTCATCACCACAACACTAAGCAAAAGCATTGTAGCCTCAAACCCATCAAATCTCAGAATAAGCGGCTGGTCAAAACCCCAACCAACGAGAACCAGTAGCGGAGCAATAAGCATCGTAACCCGCAACACATTGTTAACAACCGCCCTGATTCCAAGCTCGATCTGATTGTAAGTCCGGGACCCCATCACAATGCGGCGGTACTTAACCGAGTTTCCGACCAGTGGAACAACTGTCACGGCAAGGAAAGACTGATTCATACCCGTGATTGAAGCAACCCCACCCAAACAACCTACTATGTAATATGTGCACGCAAGCGCGGACGCGGATGCAGCTGCTAGAATCATAGATGCTGAAGCCTTGCCAAAATACGGCTGTGGAATCTGGGCCTCGATTATCTGAGACCGGCCGCCGTGGGCTTGAGCTCGCTGGCTGAATGGGGTGCTAGCGAACATGGCCGCATGGGTGCCGAGGCGGAAAATGAGGAATGTGAGGAGCAGGATGACGAGTATAATGGCCGCTATGCGTTGCGTTAAGAGTATGTGGTCTGCAGGGGTGGCTTTGGCAGATGGGAAGACCTCCATTATGGTTGGGAGGGCGAGGAGGATGAAGACGACCATCATGAGGGATGAGAGGATTGTTGTGAGGGTACGATCAAATCGGAGTCGTTTTTGGTCGTATCCTGAGACGAAAATGGTGCCACCGAGGACCTGTAGATATAGATTGTATTAGGGGGAGGTTCATGGCACCAGTTGTTGGGTTTGATACTGGGATTTATTACCAGCAGTAAATTGCTCAGGACACTTCCAAGTATCACAGATTGGGAGATGTGTGATTTTTTTTGCGCGATCGCATTAATTCCGATCTGGATCAATCGTCGTTAGCATATGTTTGAATTGAAGCTTGAATCCCCCAGGGCTAGATATCACCATCAATTCCACCGAATTTCCCAGTGTTGATTTCAGCAGTTCATTGACAACTCGGCTGCCACCTACAGTCAACGAATCGACTGATCGGTTAACCCATAATCCAAGCGGAATCACAGCGACGATGTTGAGGGTGAAGATAGCAACACTGTTCCAATTGAGGGCTCCTGCTATGATACCGATGAGAGGTATCAAAAGTGACAAGAGGCGCAGGTGGTGCTGGACCTGTGCCATGATAAAATTGAAGTATAGCATAGGTGAAGCTCGATTGGGAGACATGATTCATCGAGGGAAAAGATGAAGCTGAGAGAATTTACCCGTCTTGAGAAAGCCCACACAGGTCAACAAATGAGGCTCAGTGTATCACATTAATATTTCCATACCGATACAGCCAAATACGTAATATAAACGTAATTAACTGAAACATACATGTATTTTTATCTGTAAGGTTACACTAACCCGTACGCAGATGTCTATGGCTGAGAGACAGTGGAGCAATACACCATCCCTTTTATTCTCCACGATGTTTCTTGGTCTTTTTCCTCACTCCTGCCAATATGAACAACACAGCTCACCCTAGACTGCGAAAGTCAACCAAGATTGACCCTGAAATCATGGCCGGACCGCTTGAAGCCAACGCGACAGCCCATGAGCAAGATGCATTACTTAGAGACGAGACTGAATGCGAAAGCCACGGGGAGGAATCTGCAGAGTTGCGTGACACAAACCACCCCGTCTCGAAGTGCGCTCTTTTCCTAGGCAACTCTCTGTTCCGTGTGCTTAAAGCTACCCTGGGATGCAGCTACACCAATTTGCTACTTCCATTCGTGTTTCTGGGAATCATTGCGGGGGGCCAAGGATGGGGTGATTCGATTTCTTTCGTGTTCAACTTCCTGGCGATTCTTCCTCTCGCTGCGTTGCTGTCATTTGCCACAGAGGAACTGGCAAAAAGCGTCGGGCAAACCGTTGGAGGGTTGATCAATGCGACATTTGGAAATGCAGTTGAAATGATTGTAAGTGGTTGGATTGTTTCGACGTTTTGTTCTCTGTTAAGGTGGGAAACTGACGTTGATCGCTACACAGGTGGGAATCACTGCGGTCCGACAGGGAGAAATCAGCATCGTGCAGTCCAGTATGGTGGGAAGTATCCTGTCAGGAAATCTACTGGTAGGTCTGGGTCTTGGTGCATATTCACTACCCGGTGATCTTGTCTGCTTACACGAAATTTAGATCCTAGGTGTTTCATTTTTCTGCGGCGGCTATGCAAAAGATGTGGTGAGGTTCAACGTGGATGTTAGTGGGATACTATCATCCTTGATGGTGGTTTCATCTGCAACATTGATCATTCCCTCCGTGCTCTATTCAACCATACCGTCCAAGTCCCACGAAGTGGAAGTCAGCGTCCTGAGTCTCTCCCGTGCCGCCTCCGTGGTCCTACTCACATTCTACCTGGTCTATCTCTACTTTCAATTGAAGAGTCACGCTGAGCTATTCGTCGACGATCAAAAAGAAGAGGAAGAAGAGCGAGTTCTGGGCCCCTGGTCGGCAAGCATAATTTTGATCCTTGCAACTCTCGGGGTTACCGTCTGCTCCGATCGTCTGGTGGACAGCGTCGATGGCTTCGTAGACAAGTGGCATGTGAGCCGGGCTTTTATTGGCCTGATCGTGGTTCCCATTGTCGGTAACGCGGGTGAATTCAATACTGTCGTCAATTCTTCGATCAAGGGGAATATGGATCTCGCAATTGGTGTTATTGTGGGAAGCACATTGCAGATTGCATTGTTTGTGAGTCCGTTCCTGGTCATATGTGGCCTGGTTATTGGGCAGCCCATGTCTTTGCGCTACAGTCCCTTCGAAACTGTGGTATTCTTTCTATCGGTGATCGTCATGGACTGCTTGATTCGCGGAGGTCGATCCAATTACTACGAAGGGTCTCTATTAGTTGGAACGTGAGTGCCCCCATGAGTGTTCTGGCTACCCTCGATGCTAATGATTTAGGTATTTGATAATCGCAATTGCATTCTACGTGCACCCAGACGCAGTCGATGCCCCCTTCGTCTAGAATGCAGGGTCACGAATTAATGATTCCTAGTTGCATACATTACATTCGGACAAAATATAAGTCTAGGTTTCTGCCGCTCAAAAACCGTACAATATGTAGAAGCAGTTCTATATTTAGAGTGACAGGACAGGCAAGAATCGCCGTCGATAGTGGAGTCGCCTCGTAGGGCTGAGACTTGGCGCTGTAACTAGATGAACGGACTAATTTCAATTGAATCGTTTTGATCAATTCAATCAACTTGGCTTGCTATCTATTCTGACGGAGAAGGTTATAAGGTCTGCCTCTTAAGCCCTTAGTCTAAAGGGTTCTATCTCTAAAAAGCAGACCAAACTCGAGCATCACGTAGATATCCATAGCAATGTAATCAATTTGTGGCCGGATGATCGGCCGAGAGAAAAGGACCAGGCAGCAGAGTTCCGCTTAATCTCCTGTTTTCCTTGCTCGAACTATTGGTTTATTGTCTGTATTGTCTGTATACAAGAACTATTGCTTACGCTGTTCAAAGTCACACAGTTCGAACAAATCCATTTATAGACATAACGGCATGACCTGGAAAATATACTGAAACATCAATCATGCACGATCAATCACAGTTGCAACGTCTGATGCAGCCTAACAAAGTCTGCTTGTGCTTCCATATCAAATTCAGCACATTCATAGGCTGGCCGCCAACCATATATCACCATTTAGCGCTGCGCTATTCCTTATGCTCATGTAGATTGCGCCCATGCCCTCGTTGATACGACGCGGCCTAGTCACACAGATTCAGGGCGTGAGCAGGTCGGGGTATAAAAGTCTCCTCGATTCACCCATCCAAGTTGTATCTTTTCTACATCATATTATACCAGGCTCTGCCACCTACTCGCATACTGCAATCTTACATTATGGGTCTTCTAAAACTCTTGCTCAAAGCGATTCTCATCCCAATCGTTATCATCATTGTCATTGTTGTTGTTATTATCCTTCTCATCAAGATGCGCCGTGATCGCAAGAAGAAAGAAAGAGAACTGGAGAAATCCTTCCAACCACCCCCTGTACAGCAATGGGTGCCATACACCCCGGTCCAGCAACCTGCCCCGGCATATGTCAAAACACCGGGGGTGATGGAGCAAGGGATTGGACATGGACAGGCTTAGTGGACGCTTTCTGTTGGGTAATTATGCCTTCTAGTGAAATAGATTAGATATCATCTTTGCTAACCACGAGGTGCGTGCTGCAGACTGTTCCACTCAACATCTACACTATGGTTGGGCACTATGGTTGGGCTTTTGTAATTCTGCAGAGGATTTTGTTTCAATTATCTTTATCGGATGTTCTTTTTTGCTAATGTAGACCAAGGGCTAGTGGAATACAGCCATTGCATATGTATTAGTGAATATGTCATATTGCTGAAACTTGTACTACCCAGAGGGACCAGCGAAATCATTACGGTTCAGCACCTAGAACTTGAAGTGCATTCTAAATCGGAGTTTAGGCGCTTAGGCTCATACATTTTCTCATATAAATCCCATTCCTGACCCAAATAAGGGGGGTTTGCTACCGTCTCTATACCACTCGCATATAGCCCGTTGTAGATCAAATTAAACCGATTCAAGGCTTTGCGCCTCGTGGGATCTTCATGTGGGTTTGCAAATCATCTCCACCAACGAAGAACGGTATCACTATTTAAATAGCAAAACTGAAGCACATTGACATGAAGGTAGATATTCAAGGCCTAGCTGAAGACATTGAAATTGCAGAAGCGCACAATTCTCAAATCCATCCAACATAATCAAGGGCACCCCGATAATACATAAGGCTTGCACAACTGTGTTCCTGAGAAGCTTCAGGCCCCAAGATCCAAATAACACTCCAGAACCATGATGAGAAACAAGTACTGTAGTCTGACAAGTTTAGAAGGAAACTTGCTCAATCGTATCGCGACGCAGGACTTCAGCGTCTTCCGGCAGCAGAAACCCAGCTTTGATCTGTCGCTCGATGGCTTCGCCCGCCTGACGCCGATAGTTGGCTACCGTTTTGTAAACAGCCCACAACTTGACATCTTTGAAAGGGACCTCGGTGCCTGTCAATTATAACCAAGTTAGAACAATTGAAAGAGATTCTCGCGGACGTGAGAAACTTACCAGTGTGCCAATGAGGATGTGGCTGAGGGGTAACATCAATGATTTTGGCAGTAGACACATCTGTATGAACAGTTCTGACTCCAGCAAGCGCATTTCCGTACTGGTCTCGCTCAATCTCCCCGGATTCGTCCATATCAATTGTTGTACCTCGTGGGGGAGCAACATCGGTCGTAATCCATTTGTCCATAGCATCAAAGAGTGCGTGATAAATGAAAGAATTCGCGAAAGTGCTCCACTGGGCACCTTCCAGATCCACAGCCAACAAACGCTTCTTATCGGCCATGGAGAGATATCGGGTCTCGCGATGCGACATACCAGCAACTTCGTAGAGTCGGAATGACTTGCTATCAGCACGACGATGGGAAGGCTCTTTCTTTCCGCCGTAGAGTGCCTTGATGTAAATTAGCTCGAACTCACCAAGAACCTCAATGATCTTTGCATCGTGCAAGTCTGGGAGCGGGTTGCCGGCATCACATTGGCATGGCATAAACCCCTCAAATGGGGCACATCCATCAGGAAGTCGGAGATGAAGAGACTCGAGGATGAACTTTCTGATCAAGTCTGCAGTCTGGGAAAGACCAGTTAGTATGACGCGCTCGGCCTTGATACCCAGCTGTCCAGATCTCAAAGCATGAGATGCAGCAACAAGAATCTCCGGAGACTGCCTAGTTGCGGCCCACCATCTTTCCTTGAAGATCCTGTAATTATCCCACAGCTCTTCTGCGTTATCGAAGGAGGGAATGCTGCTGGAAAACTCGTTCAAGGTCTGACAAGGGATAAAGTGCATGTCTTTGTAGCGTTCGGGATCAACGTTTTTGATCTGGTCAAGTGCCGCGGGAGCTTGCGAATCAATTTCCAGCCAAGCGTGTCCTTTCGAGTATTAGCTCGGGCAACACACCAAACTATAACGAATGATAACTTACCATTGCGCATCAGCCACCGATTAATGAGACGCCAGATGGTTGTTCCACCCCATAGGTGAGATGGTTCCGCGACGACGAGACCGGAGAATCTGGCAGGATCTGCAGGGAAACGAAGAAGAAGACGTGTGCAGTACGAGTTCTCAACGGCGACGCCGGCCATCAAATATTCCCAGGAGACGTAGTCATACACAGGAAGCAAGTCACTGTGCTGAAGGTCATATGCTATGGTCTTGGATGTTTCGGTCTCGGGTAGGAAAGAGACAATTGGCTTTGTGACTCGGACGTGCACTCCTCGTTCTTCTTCAGTAGACATCTTGGCTGGCGTGCTCTGTTTGCGCTAAGGTTGTTGGTTTTCAGTTTTCCAAATCCGAGATAGAGCTTATGAACCCTCGGTACATGCATGGAAGGGTCCCATGAACTAGGGCCAGCAGTAACACGTGATGAGCTGTGTCGGTTGAGGCAAGGTGACGTTGGCTTTTCTTGATAAGGCCGGTGTTGTTATTGAGACGCGAAGGGAACACAGAAAGAGGAAAAGAGAAGTGGAAGGGAAAGAAATCAAATACCGACTGAGTTCATCGAAATGGAAAGGTGGGAAGGTGGTGGGTTGGAAGCAGCTAGCACAAACAAAAAGCTGGCCCACGCTTGTCAAAGCAGAGACATTCAGAAGACAAAGAGAGAAAGACATATATTCATCATAATTTTGATCTTAACCAACCCGAAACATAAACAGGAACGTAATAAGCATGTTCGAGACCTGGATTGTCTGTTATACTTTACACGAGCAACTCAAACACATCCAACCCCCAGAACCACTGTGCAATACCCATAGCCCCGACACTCATAGTCGCAGCCATGAGAAGGTTGACGCCATTGTTGTCTAGCCAGTCATGACCAGTTTCAAGGCGACGACTTTCATGACTTTCATCGAGGACGTGTGTCACCTGGGTGCCATGCACTGCAGCATTATGTATGCTACCGGTAGTTTTGGCAGTGCTATCAGCAGTAACAACCGGCTTGCCCGTCGAAGGGTGAATGATAACCTAGAAAATAGATTAGATGTTTGCACAGAGTGGTCAAGGACACATAATCGTGAACTCACCTTCCTGCCACCACTTCCCTCTACAACCTTCCCACTCCTTTTATCGACAACACTGGCCTGCAAAAGTCCACCGAGAACACTGTCAAGAACGCTGCCTAGCGTACCCCAGAGAGTCATAGCTATGGTCCACAGAGCCCGATCCTTCAATCCGGCACTGGCACAGAACGGGAGAACCGCAGCAGATGTCGCTGAAACAATGAACGAACCCAGAAGGCCAGCTCCAAGGCCAGTTGCGGTAACACCACCATTTGTACCGGGAGGGACTTCACGGAGATTCAACGACGTGATTAGGCGGGGTTTGGATTTCGAGAGAATGCCGAGCTCGGAGGAGAATGTATCGGCGGCTACAGCGGCGTAGTTTCTGCAAAAAGGAACCGGTTAGTTATATGCTCTAGAACAGATAATGCATGCATAGAAAATGAAGTTGAGTGACGTACGCTACAATCCCAACAATTAATATATCAGCCGCATTCTGGCCGAGTGAGAAGCACGATTCAGTGCCTGCTGTTTTAGCCAGGATGGCCGCATGAGCGATCGATAATATGGTAGCAACAACAGAGTTCGCTAGGACTTGGATATGGTTCCGGGGGCCTTCGCCACCTTCCGCACCGGTTGCAGAGAGTGTCAAATGCGACTTGATCTCATGTTTTACCTATCATCACGATCTTGTAAGCTGCGCCCATAATTTATGTAAATTGAGAAGCAGGTCGCTTCCTACCTTTGTAACCTTAGTCCCACTAAAATAGAATACCGCAAGGAGCGCGACTGGTGCCGACCATGGGTGGAGAGCGTGAGCGGAGGCTGAACATCCCGCAACGACCAGGCCGAGCGGGGTAAGAGATTTTCGCGACCAAGCTCGATAGACAAGTCCAATCACAAGAGGTATGCCTATATAGGGTTTCATTTTTTTGGCCTTGTGATCTCAAGTACGTTCATTTGTTGGGATAGATGGTGGTTGAGATTGAACAGGTGTAGCAGAGGAGGATCGTAGCTTGGGTGGAGTCCGAAATAAGCTTCATCACATGACATAAATTCCACTCTCGAACAGAAGAACGGCAAAAATGAGACGCCTTACCAAGGAGATGGGCCCCTTGGGAGTATAGAAAAGAAAATGAATACGTTCTCTTCGAAGGAGATTCCCAAAATCAAACAAAAAATCAATATTCAACTAGGTATAGTATGTGCCGAGTCAATATATAGACATCAGAATACTGTGCGCCTTTTCGCTCCTCGGGGTATGTCCAAAATCCAGGAAATATAGTATACAGAGCGCAAAATAAAATCAAAATTATTGACAAAGAAAACGGAAATAGATCCAAAATCAAGACGAGTGGTAGCCGAAAGAATCTCAGCAGATATTCAGCAGTCTTGCTAAAGTGCGAGACCACTGCCATCGCCGCTCCAGCGGTAAAGGGCTAGCACCTCGCGTCTGCGGGACTGCTGCTCGCCGAAGTCCTCTGGGACACGGCCACGGACTTGTGCTAGCGCAGATCGCATCACTTTTCGGAACGTTCGCTGTAGGATATTAGCTTCTGTAAATCTAAGGCTATGTCACGGGTAAACCTTACTTGATATTCAGTGTTCAAAGTCACGACGCAAGCCTCATGCGCTCGGACGATTGTTTCACAGGCCCGAACAACACTGGGACTGGCATCTCCTTGCAATTTATCGGCAGTCAAAAGTAGCAAGAAGCTACCTTGCAAAAGATATATGCCAAAGAAGAAGGGCATGAAGCTTAGATCGGGGTCGTATTCCAAAATTTCCGCGGCCGCCTCAGCAGAGCTGACTGCATGGCCCATGGCGGTGATAAAGGACTCAGAAGAAATCCAGAGATCGTTATCGTCGAGCAGGTTGATAGGGTCCCACTTCCCAGCCAGCAGAATGTGGAGTACATGCATAATGTGGGTGCCATAGGCAACCACCATCTTCGTATGAACGATGGACTCACTCACATGCGATCCTACGGTGCTAATAGACCGACCAGATGGGCTGACATGGTTGATGTTGGAGGCCTCCATGGCTGTGTCGGCCTCACCGGTGCCGAGGGCAATAGAGCTGGTATATCGAGCCTCGAATTCTTTCAGGCTCTGGGCGTAAACATCGAGCTGCCTGCGGATTTCCATGGCCTGACTTTCGCACTCACCGCTGTTGCGGAAATGTAGACCGAAGCGCGGGTTATTGCGAGCATGTTGCAGATCCACAATCTCACCCAGGATAGACATCAGGGGTAAAAAATATCCAAACATGCTATGGCCAGTGCATTCGGAGGGTGGGCCAGCACGGCGGTAGTTGACAGATGAAAAGTCACCCGCTTGCCAGATATCACCGTTCATCGGCTGTAACAATCCCTCGCACTCTTTATCCAGCAGTGTCAAGGGTCTGTTGTAACAAAGTGCAAGATGGCGATCTGTCGCAAATAATAACCACCAGATCCGCCGACGCTCCTCACGTTCTTCCTCTGTGAGATTGATCGCAGAGTTACCTGAGCCGTGGCTTAACAGAGAGGATGGTTGCCTCTTGTTGCCATTCACATCAATGTCCCCCTCGCCCTCCATTTCGCCGTCCTGACGGGTCGCCGCATTAGGCGGTAATTCGCGGCCGAGTTTCAATTCTCGTGCAAGAGACCAGGCAGCTGTCCACCATCGCATACTTGCAGCCTTATATTCGCTAGCAGAGACAACAGTCGCTAAGTGAACATATGTAGCGACGTCATCCACCGCGCCAGTGGCACTACTCTGAGCACCCAATTGATCCATAGATACCCCAAAGCCACCGAGAGCCACTCCATTAATTACCATATTAGCTGGATAATTGGGAGATGCTTCTCCGGTGGCTGGACCATGGATAAGTGGCCGGAGTAGGCCAATCGTCAACTCCAGAAGCTTTTGGCACACTCGGCCTCGAGCTGAGGGAGGTGATGTCAGAAATGCAGCCTCACTTGTTTGTGCTGAGACCCACAGCATGCTGGCGAGAAGCCCAGGGGTGCACGCTCGCGGCTTTGTGGGGTGTAGGAACGATTGCTTGCGGAAGACATGGCCAACCACGTAGGGCGACGATGGAGAAAGATGTGAGGACGATGAGCTGGTGAAATATATGTCGAGAAGATCACAGGCGAGAGATTGAGGGATTATAGACATAATGTGCGGAAGAACTGGTTGCAAGACTGGGTATCGCAATGAGCTAGAGAAAGGAGGCATGCTGAAGGAAGGGAAGTTTGCGGGTGATGGAGAAGGGAGTGGCAACCAGCTAGGTGACTGCGCTGGAGGAGAGAATCCAATGAAAGAAGCCGATGGGTTGTCCGTCGAGTTCCCAATGCGGAAATGATTCATGGAGCTCGGATTCGCATCTTGCGTATTCATCAAAGGGTATGTGCTATCATTATACACCGAACCGAATCCTTGAGAATGAAGCACTGTACCTGGCGACCGAGGGTTCCCATTCGAGTTTTGCATCATCTGCATAGAGCGCATATCTGACACAGACATCGAAGGTCGGTGAGATTCTTGGAGCGCTGCATAATTATTGAATGGCATGCCCGCTATGTTGGAACTCATCTGCTGCTGAGGAGGTGCTTGGACGAGCGCTTGATTTTGGCGCATGGCAGACAATCCAGCTACATCCGCGTTATGCGACCGAGAATTTGCGCCTCCACTTAGAGTCCGCGCGGCATCAAAGGCGCGGTCATAATGTTCGTTGGATTCGTGCAAAGACTGTCCTTTTGAGGCCTGCCCTTTGGTATGCGTTATGTTTTGGTTACTACCCATATCACTGTCGTTGATCCCAGTGGCGGCTATATCCTTTTTGGACGCTTTCCCGCGCTTCTTGCGCTCGCGGGCGTACTCACAGCCAAGTCCAAACTCTGGGAACCGTTAGTTCAACCAATGCGCAAATGGAGAGAGTCCGGTAGGAAGGAAAAGTCGTACCAACACAATGCGCACAGGGATTATGTCCATCGCACTTGGTTCGCAATTGGTTGCACTGATCGCAGGCTCGACTGATTCTTCGACGGGCTGGGGTCGCGGATGAGTTTTTGCGAATAGCAGAGCGAGCTTCGGCAAGGGAATCGCGCAATTCTGGATCCTTGAGACCTGAATTGGAAACATTTCGTTCGCTATAGAGAAGATGCTGGGAATGTCGCGAAGTCTTCGAGTCTCGAGAGTGACCGGGATCGGTTGGGATGTCAGCGGTATCGGCTTCACGTGTTAACTGGAGCTGTTCCAGCGCATACTGCGACCCCTCCGCAAGCGTATCCAGTCCGGGGGTTTGGGATTGTGTCATCCGTCCTGCTTGGGACGAAAAGGGAGAGTAAGAATTGGCGGAGGAGAGGGAGGTCATCGCATGCTTCTCCGAGGAGGCAAAAGCAGGGCTATGGCGACATAGAGGGACAGATCAAGGGAACCTAGACTCTCTGGTCTACCAGAACCAAAGGATTGAGTCAAATGCAGTATAGAGAATGACCGAGAAGTCACAACGGCATTGCAGAAAGACGGAGAGAGAACGTGCGACCTCGGGAGTTCTTTTCCCCCTCGGCGCAGCCCAAAGCGTGGCTTTCGCACAGTTTAGAAGGTCAAATCTAAGAGATAAAAAAAAGTCGGACAATTAGAAGTAGACCGCCCAAAAAAAAGGAAGACCAGAAATATGAATTCCAGAAGTCCAGAAGTCCAGAGGTTCAGAAGATTAGAAAATCCGAAAATCTGGGGAAATTGGCATGCAAAGGCGGGGGGCAATAGCACGTGGTGTCACTGGTATAGGAAGTATATATATCTCTCTCATATCCATCTAAACACAAATACACTTGTATCCAGAGCTTTCATCCGGTTTAGCTCCCAAGGCGCCTTGTCTCAAATGAAACTACAAAGTCTCTTTGCTCGCTTTCTGTGTATGTACTCCGTACTCTGTATATGTATCCGTATTCCCCACATTTCACACCAACATCCTGGTTATATACGGCACAACAAGCAATGTTTATCGTATTGTAGCCCTAGAGATATTAGATACGTGAAAATGTAGACTACGTGCATAATATTTCGGACCTGAACCCCTCATCTGGCTACGGTCACATAACCCCGGTCTTAGCACCGGGGGAGAAAAAAGCATATTTGTACAAAGTACGGGCTCCGGATATAATTCTTGTGCAGATTGGATCATTTACAAGTTCCGGGATTCTACGGCATAGAGTGCAGAGTACATGATTTAGACGCGAACTTGACCGTTTGCTTTCGAAAGCTCGGCAAAGTATACACTGTACACTTGCTATAGGGAGCTGAAGACGCTCCAAAACGGCTAGATCCGCGGTGCTTGGCCACTCTCTGTTGGTTTTAGGCTTTTCTTTTGAATTTTGCCTAAATTCACTTTGAGAGTATGTACTCCGGTATTTGCTTTAAAGTTGAGGGGTCACTAGGTAATATATAGGGTTCTGATGAGACAACGGTAGAGTAGTTCTTCAAGTTCAATATCATATTCATACAGGTAGTATATACTATTTTCTTCCCATGTGTAATGTACAGATGCAACCAATGAAGCCCAGAAGGTAATCGGGCAGAAACGATGCAGGAAATTACAAGTCAGCTAAATGAATCCGGAAGTCACTCCTCCACAGCACTCTAGAAATGGCTAAAACAAAATGTGGAAGTATGCATAAACGCCAGCGGAAATGCGGTAATTCCCAGGGTGATGAGAAAACTATGAGAAGAAGTATTCACTTTCACGAATTCGGGTCAGGTCCCAGTCGCCCTTCTTAGGAACGGGACGAAATTTGAGAGGCATCCATAACCACGTGGTCAAGTGGCGAGACTGACGTCGCCGCGCAGAAGGCTGGGTCTGCTCAGTTTGACCGTCCTCCTCGGTCTGATCGGAGGGTTCACCATGGACATCATCCTCTACTTGGGACATCTCGTCACGTGA